CCCCTCCCCGAGAGGCAGGGGGTCCCCCAGGACCAGCTACCCCCCACCAAACCGCCCATCACATGAGCCGCTTCCCAACAAGTCCCATCACGATGCCAAGCAGAGCCGGCGGGCAAGCGCAGGGAGGGAAATTCCCCGCACGCAGCCAGGCGAGGCTGGCACCGCGTCTCCACCGCACCCACCGCTGCCCTCCTGCATGGGGTGCCAGCAGAGCCCCCCCTCGCCATCCCTGCCGAGCGCACCTGGATGCTTTTTCCTGGCACATGACCTGCCAGATTTGCTGAATAAACCTCCCGGCTCCAGCAAACCCACTGCATTGCTGGCGGGGAAAGTGGTGAAACGTTCAAACGGATGTTGGAAAAGGCAGGGGGGGAGAACAAACCTACGACACAAAGCCCTCATCTGCAGGAACCGAAAGGGTTTTTTGGGGTTTGTTTTTTTTATTTCCTCTCCGGTTGCAACACAAAAACAAAGTCAAGATAGGGATCGTGGCGTGCTGGGGGGGCAGCTCCCTGCCCCTCGTCGCTCCAGGCAGAGTGAGCCTGGCCAAACCGAGATGAAGCAGAGACATGGGACGTGTGTGCAGCATTGCCACGGCTGTCCGACCTGGGTTCAGGGTTTAGACACGGGCTCCCAGCCTGCACCCGCCACGGAGGGAGGCAAAGCAGCCTCCCGCAGTGGTAGGCCAACTAGCACAAAAAATGCCATCGTTGTTATTAATAATTTCCCTGCCTCTGGGGGAATCTGCACTCCTCATCCATTTCGGGCAGTCTCTTTGTCTCTGCAGACTGTTTTTCTTGGCACCTGAAGAACCCTTTCATGGTTCCCCCTCCCACTTCACGCTCTCGGTTTTAAAGGCCAGGCGAAAGCCACTGGCCCCCCTGCGTACTGGTGGGGAGGGCAAAGAGAACCCCAAATCCCAGAGCTGCCTGGCTGCACGGCAGGTCCCCTCTACCCTCGGATCAGCAGATATGAAGCTCGACCCCAACGCAGACAAGCCCCCAGCACAAGCTGGTCCCCTCCACCTGGGAGCATCTGCAGCCCCCACGGCGATGCATCCCAAGGAGATGAATCCCAAGGAGCCAGGGCTCAGATAAGCCATGTCCGACGGCCCCCCGCCTCCTGAGGGGAAGGCGGGGGGAGGCAGGGATTGCACTGCACCACCTGCATTGGTTTAGTATCTCATCCCAGCTGGCTGAAACACCGGCTGCCCCCAGGTAACACACAGCCTCCCCAAATACCACCAGCAGTCCCCATCCCCACAGACCCCTGATCTGCTGGGGAAGGGGGGACTTATAGCGCCCCC